GTGTATGTGAATGTTTATGTTGTGTATGTTGTTGCAGTTTGTGCATCAGTTATGACTGTTTCAGTGTGTAACATTAAGTGTGTGTTTCTATCATACATTGAAGTTTATGCCCATCTTTAGCCCTGTCTCTTTCCCTCTTTTTCTTCCAATCTCCCTCTCCCTCCCTCCCTCCCTCCCTCCCTCACCCACACTCTCCACTCTTCTCTCTCTCTCTCTCTCTCTCTCTCTCTCTCTCTCTCTCTCTCTCTCTCTCTCTCTCTCTCTCTCTCTCGCTCTCTTTTCTCTTTCTCTTTCTCTTTCTCTTTTTCTCTATCACACACAAGCACACACGACACATGCGTGCACACACACACAGACACACACAGACACACACAGACACACACAGACACACACAGACACACACACACACACACACACACACACACACACACACACACACACACACACACACACACACACACACACACACACACACACACACACACATGACTCTGATGGAGCCAGATGTTTCCATTCTAGAACCTTCTGTGAGACAAACAGAGTTCATTACAGGAGGAAGAGAAGCGGAGATGTTTTGGCTTCCAGGGGTGGGAAGATGGAGTGTTGCGAATGGAGAATATTCCTGATAATCCCGATGCTCCTTGGTTCTGGCTGGGTTCTTGTTATTGTAGAGGCAGACTGTGTAACAGAGGGCTGATGTTATCAGTGAATGGGACAAGGAGTGTAACAGCAGTCGAATGTAATGAATACATGTATGAATATCCAGTATGAATTTGTATTAATTCTTTTCTCCTCTATGGGAATGGTGACATTGGTCATTTGTCCAATGTCACCATTGTAGGATTTTTTATGAATTTATTTGCAAATTATGGTGGAAAATAAGTATTTGGTCAATAACAAAAGTTTCTCAATACTTTGTTATATACCCTTTGTTGGCAATGACACAGGTCAAACGTTTTCTGTAAGTCTTCACAAGGTTTTCACACACTGTTGCTGGTATTTTGGCCCATTCCTCCATGCAGATCTCCTCTAGAGCAGTGATGTTTTGGGGCTGTCGCTGGGCAACACAGACTTTCAACTCCCTCCAAAGATTTTCTATGGGGTTGAGATCTGGAGACTGGCTAGGCCACTCCAGGACCTTGAAATGCTTCTTACGAAGCCACTCCTTCGTTGCCCGGGCGGTGTGTTTGGGATCATTGTCATGCTGAAAGACCCAGCCACGTTTCATCTTCAATGCCCTTGCTGATGGAAGGAGGTTTTCACTCAAAATCTCACGATACATGGCCCCATTCATTCTTTCCTTTACACGGATCAGTCGTCCTGGTCCTTTTGCAGAAAAACAGCCCCAAAGCATGATGTTTCCACCCCCATGCTTCACAGTAGGTATGGTGTTCTTTGGATGCAACTCACCATTCTTTGTCCTCCAAACACGACGAGTTGAGTTTTTACCAAAAAGTTATATTTTGGTTTCATCTGACCATATGACATTCTCCCAATCCTCTTCTGGATCATCCAAATGCACTCTAGCAAACTTCAGACGGGCCTGGACATGTACTGGCTTAAGCAGGGGGACACGTCTGGCACTGCAGGATTTGAGTCCCTGGCGGCGTAGTGTGTTACTGATGGTAGGCTTTGTTACTTTGGTCCCAGCTCTCTGCAGGTCATTCACTAGGTCCCCCCGTGTGGTTCTGGGATTTTTGCTCACCGTTCTTGTGATCATTTTGACCCCACGGGGTGAGATCTTGCGTGGAGCCCCAGATCGAGGGAGATTATCAGTGGTCTTGTATGTCTTCCATTTCCTAATAATTGCTCCCACAGTTGATTTCTTCAAACCAAGCTGCTTACCTATTGCAGATTCAGTCTTCCCAGCCTGGTGCAGGTCTACAATTTTGTTTCTGGTGTCCTTTGACAGCTCTTTGGTCTTGGCCATAGTGGAGTTTGGAGTGTGACTGTTTGAGGTTGTGGACAGGTGTCTTTTATACTGATAACAAGTTCAAACAGGTGCCATTAATACAGGTAACGAGTGGAGGACAGAGGAGCCTCTTAAAGAAGAAGTTACAGGTCTGTGAGAGCCAGAAATCTTGCTTGTTTGTAGGTGACCAAATACTTATTTTCCACCATAATTTGCAAATAAACTCATTAAAAATCCTACAATGTGATTTTCAGGAGAAAAAAAATCTCAATTTGTCTGTCATAGTTGACGTGTACCTATGATGAAAATTACAGGCCTCTCTCATGTTTTTAAGTGGGAGAACTTGCACAATTGGTGGCTGACTAAATACTTTTTTTCCCCACTGTAAGTTACAGGAACGCTCCAGAACAAAGTCAGAAGTTTCTATTTCAGGTCAACTCTCAAAGAGAACGTTTGGTCTCACAGCTGTCCAATGATGCTGAGATGAGTCGTGTCTGTTGGCTTTGCATCGGGTGTGTCTGTGGGCTTTGCATCGGGTGTGTCGGTGGGCTTTGCATTGGGTGTGTCTGTGGGCTTTGCATCGGGTGTGTCTGTGGGCTTTGCATCGGGTGTGTCTGTGGGCTTTGCATCGGGTGTGTCTGTGGGCTTTGCATCGGGTGTGTCTGTGGGCTTTGCATCGAGTCTCTGTGAGGAAAAGTGGTTCTCAAAAATAGCAAGAGACACAATCCATTATATCTTAACCTACTGTAGATGTCCATGGGGAGATTTGCCATAAAAAACACTGCATTGACCCACAGTGAATCATGTATATTGGAGTGAGCTGAATGGTATAAGTCTAATTAGCTGGATGGATTTTTTATATTTCTGAGGTATGAGAGAAGAGGGTCAGGGACGTTAAGCGAGGTGTTGTCATGTTCCTCTCCCTCCCTCCCTTTGTTATTGGACAGATCCACAGGTGGTTGGGCTCTGTTCGAGACCAGGAGTAGGGTCAAGTTGCCCCTAGACACTGATCTTTAGTTAAAACTCCACTCAAACTATCTTCTGGTATTCATCATGATTTTGCAGTGACATTATTTCATCTTGAAAGTCCAATATCTTAAACTTGACTGATGACATGCAAAACATTTTGGGACTAAAGTGGACTAATGAAACAAAAAACTAAACATCGTTTTTGAGTTGATTTTCCTTTAAGGTTATGATTGGTGGAGGGGAAGCTGATCCTAGAACTGTAACTTCACCCTGGAGTGTTCGAGACCAGAATGTCAAATGTCAACAAACACAGGACAGAGTGATGTCACTAAATGAGAAACCAACTGTGTACTACTGTCATACTTAGTGTGTCACTCTGAAAGACCTCTGAGATCCGACCAGTTCCAAAGGCGGAGCTGATTGACTATTGTCCTGTGGCGTTAAAATCAGTTGCTGTGAAGTGCCTTGAGCGCTTGATACTCACACGTCTCAGGTCTCATGTGGACAGAGCCCTTGACCCAATGCAGTTTGCATACAGGAAGAACAGATCAGTGGGGGCTGCAGTCCTGATGGTGTTGCACAGTGCCGTGACACACCTGCCTCACTCTTATGTGCTCATCCTTTTCCTGGACTTCTCCTCTGCTTTTAACTGCATGAAGCCTCACCTTGTCTGTGATAAACTCTCCCACCTACAGGTGGACCCCAGCATTACCTTGTGGGTGCTGGACTTCCTGCTGAACAGGGGGCCGTATGCCATGTTCAACAACACAACATCCCTTCTGTGTACATCCCTTCTGTGTACATCTCATGACTGGGGCAATAACCTACCGGCTCTCACAATCTCACATCAGAATTAGACGTTTATCCATGTTTCTCAAACGTGAAAAAATACGAACAACGACTACTACACCTGTCATATAGAGAGTGTGCTGACTTTTTGTTTCCTGGCCTGGTACGCTGGGCTGTCAGTGGCCAATATGGGTATCCTCAGGAGGACTGTAAACCTGGGGTCCAAGCTCTGTGGGCTGCAGTGCAGGGGGCTTCAGGGCCTCTATGATAGACAAGGCCAAGCGCATCATAAAGGACCCTACACACAATCTTACCCAATGTTTTGAGCTGCTGGCCTCCAGAAGGAGATTAAGGGTCCCACTGTTCAGCAAGAATAGGAGCAGGGCAAGTTTCATTCCATCAGCCATCAGGCTGCTGAACAGTAGGACATAGGACAGATGTAGGAAGCTGAACAGTGGGACATAGGACATATGTAGGATGCTGAACAGTGGGACATAGGACAGATAAGGATGCTGAACAGTGGGACATAGGACAGATGTAGGATGCTGAACAGTGGGACATAGGACAGATATAGGATGCTGAACAGTGGGACATAGGACAGATATAGGATGCTGAACAGTGGGACATAGGACAGATATAGGATGTTGAACAGTGGGACATAGGACAGATGTAGGATGCTGAACAGTGGGACATAGGACAGATGTAGGATGCTGAACAGTGGGACATAGGACAGATGTAGGATGCTGAACAGTGGGACATAGGACAGATATAGGATGCTGAACAGTGGGACATAGGACAGATGTAGGATGCTGAACAGTGGGACATAGGACAGATGCAGGCACAATACATGGTCGGACAGTAGGCCGCAGAGACTTTGAATATGTGAAAATGTAAATGTGTGTGTTGTGTGCTAACTTTCCAGTGTTTCTGTACTGCATGTAATATCTTGTGTTGTGTTTGTGTATTTGTATGCTGACGTCAAGAAATGAATGTAACTGGACAATAAAGTATATCGTATCGTATACATTATACAGTAGGCGACAGTACATGGTATGATACACAGCAAGATCAGCTCAGTATATTTACTTCTTAAATGACTAAGGTATTATTCACTTTTACTGATAAGAAAAGGGTGACCGACTACACCCTATTTCATGAGCACACAGCATTGACATCCGGGGCTTGACACACACACACACACACACACGCACACACACACACCTGATGACCATTTGAGGAAGTCCTGTTAAGGTAGTAGAGGTAGTGGCAGGCAGTCTACGCCCTTCTCTGCATTCCTAATGTGGCCCTGTGAGAGTAGTCCAGACTTTACAGAGGATCACATACAGGAGGATCACATACAAGAGGATCACATACAGGAGGATCACATACAGGAGGAGAATATAGATCAGATCGGAAGAAGGAAGCCTGAAGAGACTGACAGAGAGTGTCAGAGAGAGGTGTGAGAGAGAAAGAAGTAGAGAAATATTTGTTTTTGAGTCAAGTCAGGGAGAGGGGCAGGGAGAGCTCAGAGAGAGAGAGAGAGAGCTGTCCAAGGAAGTGGAAGAATATCGTAGTACTGACTGTTTCTGAATAGGACCAAAGAGATCGACAGGGGAAAAAAAACATTGGTGAGAAAACAAAAAACAGCCATCTACAGTCGGTTTCAGTAGGTTATAGGGTATAACCGCCTTACCGTACCGTACATGACACCCGGATCTGACTAGAACTAGCATTGCCATGGTGACCCTGGACACGCGTACCCTGACGGTGCCTGTGGGCATCGTGAGAATGCTGGAGGTGGTCCTTACCTGTATCTCCTTCAGCCTGGTGGCCTCGGTGGGTCACTTCAGCTCATCCTACTGGGCCTGGTGCATGTTCACCTGGGTCTTCTGTTGCTTTGTCACCCTCCTCATCCTCATCATGGAGTTCACCACCCTCCATGCCCGTGTACCCGTCTCCTGGGACGACTTCACCACCGCCTTCGCCATGCTGGCCACGCTCATGGTGGGTAACGCCCACGCCGTCTTCTGTCTGTGAGTTAGACTATAAGGGGTAGAATCAAGATCACATACCTACGTATTAGTGTCAATGTGTGAGAGTTACATTAGAGACAATATAGAGAAGAGATGGTTGTGTGTAGTTTACTTTTGTGTAACTGTAAATCAATGAATAGGACATTTTGGGGAGATTACACATCAATCTTCCCTGCGATAGACTAGACTCCTGTCGAGGAGGTGTACTTGTACATCACACTGCTTCATGCTTCAGAAACAGGAGTTAGGTTCCTGCCCTATGGGCTGTTCTGGCTGAGACAAGGCTACTTACTTTTTTACATGTATATAATGCACTTATCTAGAGTGAGGATCCAGCACTGGACCTTGGACAGCCAGTTGTTGTTATCATACTGTACATGAACACAGTGGTTAAATGAAACATGCAATATTTTAGTACCACTTAGAGTTGTTGGTCGATCCAATAATGGAAGCAATTGCTAGTCGTGTCTGTAAATTTACTTTCACACTAATTGCGAATGAACTTAAACTGAGACATACATGCCAGCAGATACCGATGTATCAATAGTAATTTCTAATTGCTACTTCCACTGAACTAGAACGAGTTATTGATCAAGTGATGATTTCATCTTCATTATGTCACAACAGCAAGGCAGCTAATCTATCTTGGCTCTTGTGTAGTCCATACATCACCTCTCTAGTCAGATCAGTGAGGAAATTAGATAAATGCAATAAAAGGAAAGGTTTTAACCCTTAAGGAGTGCGTTGGAGTTTGTGTAGCTTTGCCAACATTTTGGGATGATTTATTGAGTAGGAGCTACATTGGTAGTAGATGAAGTGGAAGTAAAAGGTGACACCCATAGCACTTTGACAACTTTAATGGGTAAATGAAGTCCACTGACATTCCATGTTATTGCCTTTAAACTCCGATGTTGTCATCCTATTCCATTGTTGTTATTCATCCATCATCATCATCCATTGTCTTGGGCTTTAACAGGTGCTGGCTGCCTCCATCATCTACCCCACCTTCTTCACCTGTGTCTCCTGTGGGAAGCAGATCGCTGCCACCGTCACTTCCTGCCTGGCCTTCATCTTGTATGCCACGGAGGTGGGCCTGACCCGGGCCAAACCAGGCGAGATCAGTGGCTTCCTCTCCACCGTCCCAGGCCTCCTCAAGGTCCTCGAGGCCTTCGTGGCCTGCATCATCTTCATCTCGCTGGACCACAGCCTCTACTCGCAGTTTCCAGGGCTCCAGTGGTGCGTGGCGGTCTATTCGCTATGTTTCATCTTCGCCCTCATCATCATCCTCTTTACTATCTGCCGCCTGCTGTCGCTCTTCCCGTTCCCGTTCGACAAGGTGCTGACGGGCTACAACGTGCTGGCCGTGCTGATGTACATGACGTGCGTGGTGATATGGCCTCTCTATAGCTTCCAGAACAACCACAGCAGACCCAGCGGGTGTGGCCGCTCCTGCGACTGGGATAACCATGGTCGTAGTGGCATTCATGACCTGTTTCAACCTTGTGGTTTACATCGTGGACACGGTCTACTCTTTCAGGCTGGTGTTCTTCGTCACCCCGGCATAGGTCAAAAGTCAAAGGTCACCCACCTTACCCAACCTGAGCACTGGCCCTGAAACACAGTGCCGGATCTTAAACGATAGACTGAACTTTGCTTTTGTATGAATACAGCTAACTGCAATCATGCTGTTTTTTTTGGAACACTAATTCGTATTGATAGAATGTTTCTGTATGGTGGATAATAACCGTTTTACTTGGCCAGATTACATTTTTGTGAATGATAATGCTTCGTCATGCATAAAATGGGGTTATAATTCTGCTAGCAATTCACAAACCATGAGGTGGATAAGAATGTTCTGGAACGCTTGGATCCGTACGTAGATTCAACTTGTATTTTTTCTTCCCATCTCATGTCTTTAAACTACACAAGGAACCATGCAGTCCACCCTATTCAGTCCACATGGGCTGTAATCAAAAGCAAATAGAAAGATCAAAGAGCTGTTCTTGATATGTTCATTTTCTTCTCTTATTCTGTTCTCCATTTTATCTCTGTCGCTCTGGCCTTGATTCAATCAATTCAGCGTTAACCCCTGATAAGTGACAACTGCATAGCTGATCATTGTTTTTACTGATTTGACAGCTCCAACGCAGTTACACCTTCGTCATGGCCCAAAATACAAACAGATCTGCTATGCAGTTGTCGGTTATCACGGGTTAACGCTGAACTGATTGAATCTAGGACTCTGTCTCTGTCTCTGTCTCTGTCTCTGTCTCTGTCTCTGTCTCTGTCTCTGTCTCTGTCTCTTTCTCCTCATGTGTCTACTGTACCTAATCTAATCTTGACAAACACACAGTCCAGACAGATATGACAGAATTCAGCTCAAACATGAATCTGAATAGGTACACATAACTATTGACATTTGAAAATTTAGCTGACATGTGACTAAATTGTTTTAATGTTATATAACAATAAAATAAAGAAAACATTTGCTTAAAAGTCCATAAGAATCATATTTTATTTATTTATTTACTGTAACACCTATTCTGTTTCTACAACACTGGGAAAGGACATTTAGCAATGCTCCCTTCCTCTCCCTGTTTGCTAGGGTGTGTCTGCTATGAGAGGCCCATTGGATGAAATGCGTGGGATGTCGAGGTCCGGCCCTGGGCTTTGCTTTCATGTCTCTTTCTGTGTTTACTGAGTGCGGAGGGGAAGCCGAGAGCGAGATAAGTCTCAACCACACTCCGCTCCGTCCCACCTGGATGACATCACTCTCTTACACAATCCCTCACGGACCGTGGCTTACCACAGATTTGATTTGATAGGGAACGTATTGGGCCATTCTGAGGCTGCAAAACAAATTATTATTTATAAAAAGACAGCAGAATAATTATGGTTCCTGATCTGTTTATGGTAATGATGTCAAGGTCTTCAATGTCCACACTTTGTTTTGTGATACATATGGCAGGGGTTATTCCTTCCTTGAAAAGAGAAATTAAGTTAAGTGACGAATGAAGAATCATTGTTCCAAAACAAAAGCCAGCAGAATGATGGAGGTTCCTGATGTGATTATGGTAATGAAGTCAAGGTCTTTTATGTCCACATCTTTTTGTCTGTCATGTTACCTTTGACAGGGATTATTGATTTATTCAAAAGATAAATGAAGTTATGTTGCTGCTGTCTCCTTGGCACAGATCAAGAGGGAGGTAAAAGTGAAAGATGGATGAGGCAGAGAGAGAGAGGGAGAAGTGAGAGTGGGAGAGAAAGAGAGAGAGAAATAGAGAGAGAGAGAGAGAGAGAGAGAGAGAGAGAGAGAGAGAGAGAGAGAGAGAGAGAGAGAGAGAGAGAGAGAGAGAGGGACAGAGAGAGGAGGAGTATATAGAGAGAGGAGCAGGAAAAAGAAGGATATGAGGGTATAAAACAATAGAGAGAGAGCTAGGCAATGCACCAACAATATTTAGTGGCACCAGGGAATCCAAATCTAATGCATTTTGTAAGTGTTCAAAAAATCTGGTGCGTTAAATTAAAAGTTGGTATGGTACACTCTGAGCTTGGGCAGTAGTATGCATATTGTATTAGCTTTATCAACCAGAACACTATTCGATTTCTATTATCAGTGGAAACAGAATAGCGCTTCTACAAATTATTTGCCTACCACTCCTACCCCTTCCCTGCCTCTCTTTCTCTCCCTTTCTCAAGAACATGGATGAGGACATCAGTCAATAGCTGTCAAGTGTCAAAAAAGGACTTCAGTCAAGTTAGGAACACTGAATTGAACAAACGTGAGGTTACTTACACAAGCATGGGTTTCCCTGTTTGGGGGATGTGCATTTGGACCAGAGCTGGGTTCAAATAGTATCTGAAATCTTTCAAATACTTTAGCTGTGCTTGATTGAGCTTACCTGACACAATGTATCCAATAGAATAGTCCCAAAGGTTCAAACCCCACCCATCTGGCTTTCCAAGCAGACTCAATCAAATGCTCAAAGTATTTGAAAGATTTCAAATCTTACTTGAACCCAGGTCTGATATGGTCCCACTCCCAGGGATGGGGTTTGTATTGAAGTTCACCTTAGACAGAGACCAGAGTCCAGTATGTGTGGTGTGGGCGAGCCAGATAAGACTGGACCGGCGTCCAATGAGCTCCTTGAATCTGGGTCGTAAAACGTGCAATAAATCCAAGAGAGGGCAGGATACACCATAGAAATAAAATGAACAGAATGGGCTTGGAGCCTCTAAACTCATCGGTACACTCGCAATGGCTGCCTGGTATTGTGATGCAATTATTTCCATGGTAATGTAAAATGTTCATTCCAATGATGCTAAGTGATGTTGCTCGTGCAATGAAATGTTTATTTTTTTAATGTCAGTTGATTTCACAAATCACAGCACAGATTGGTACACTTCCTGCTTTTACTTCTTGCTTTGCTCCTATGGGCTATGTCGAAAAAATAAAGGTTAAGACAATGTAACAATTCCATGCTGATTCCAATTCACTACGATTGTAGTTATTTTCCACTTTGTTGGTGAACTTTCTGTACTGCTACCATTCTCTCCCAGTCATTTTCATTCCGGCGCTGGTCCAATGAATTCGTTTATTTTAGAACGTTTCTGCATTTAATAATTAAGCTGTCTTAACCTTTGTTATCTTCAACCTAGCCTATGGGTACACTCACAATGGCCGACAGTCCACGCATTATGCCATCATCGACATGAATGGGGAGGCCTGTTCTATTCATTCTATTTCTATGGGATACACACCATCATAAACACGGGAGGAGTTTTGCTCTACACAGGCATGCTCTGGTCTCTACAGCATGAGGAAGGAGACTTGGATAAGGCAGGAACAAGAGAAGGTCTTACCTCTCTTGGAATTGTATTGCTTTACTATAAGGTCCTTACTCAGCAGGGGAATGCACATAGAGTAAAAGACGGAAGGAGAGAGAGGAGTGGAGATGTCAAGGTGACACAGTGGAGAGAAGAGAGTGACACAGCAGAAAATTACTGGGTGAGCTTTCATTAAGAGGAGAATATAATACTTTAAGAGGGCAACAGTAATTGATCACAATGAATAGAATCAGTAATTAATTCAAACGTGAAATACGTGCATTTGCTAAAAGCGAGCAAAGGAGAGAGACAGAAAGAAGAACATTAGCCAGATGAAAGAGAGAGGAAAAATAGACACTTTAGCTAAACAAAAAAGTCAAGGAACCCTTGGTGAGTGAACAGTCACGCAGAGTCCCTAGATAGATCATTCAATCGTATCTCATCATGGTGAACCTGGACCTGAGGTCTCTCACCCTGCCGGTGGGCATCATCCGTATGGTGGAGGTGGTCCTCACCTGTATCTCCTTCAGTCTGGTGGCCTCGGCAGGCCATGTGCTCTCCACACACTGGGCCTGGTGCATGTTCACCTGGTGCTTCTGCTGCTTCTTCTCCCTCTTCATCCTCATCATGGAGTTCACCCGCTTCAGCGCCAAGGTGGGGGATGTTTACTGTCTGGATTTGATGGAATAGATTGGTGGGAGGTGAATTTGTAGCTTACGTGTATCGTTTCATACCTGTCTTATATCTTTCTAATATGTATTTCTATTGTAAAGCAGTAGTAGATGTAGTTGCAAGTTTTTCAGGAAAACACATTTTTCAGGAAAACTCTTGGCCCTAGAAATAACCTTAATGATTTCCTCATCATCTCAAGGTGCCCATCTCCTGGGATGACTTCACCACGGCCTTCGCCATGCTAGCCACACTAATGTGTTTCACCTCCTCCATCATCTACCCCACCTTCTTCACCTGCCCCACCTGCTACCACCAGATCGCCGCCACTGTCATCTCCATACTCTGTTTCGGAGTGTACGTCAGCGAGGTGGTGTTGGCCCGCCTCCGGCCCGGCGGTGAGATCAGTGGCTTCCTGTCCACTGTCCCGGGCCTCCTCAAGATACTAGAGACTCTGGTGGCTTGTATTATCTTCACGTCGCTGGATCCGGCAAGGTTTTCGTTGTACCCGGGACTGCAGTGGTGCGTGGCAGTTTATTCCCTCTGCTTCATCTTCGCACTCGTCATCATCTTCCTCACTGTCAGTCAGCTGCTGTCGCTCTTTCCCTTCTCGTTCGACAAACTACTCACGGTCTATAACATTCTGGCCACGGTGATGTACATGACCGCCATGGTCATCTGGCCGCTGTACGGTTTTCGAGAACAACCCCCGGCCCGTTCCGTGTTCCCACTGCTCCTGGGACGATCTGGTTGTGGTGACGTTCATGACCGTGATCAACCTGGTGATCTATATTTTGGATACGATCTACTCGATAAAGGTGGTCTTCTTCACACGGGATGAGGAATAGGCCAGATTCTCAGGAACCTTCACTCCAACTTCTCCAGAACCGGTCAACGACTGAGTACAACTCGTACACTATCATATTGCATGGAGAAAAACTGTTTACTGAATAAGAAACTCCAGCACATTGGTCATCTTTATTCTCCAAATATGGTTGAAAAGATCCATTACATTTCTAGAGAATGAAGAGTTTCTTTTCAAATCAATGACTGAGAGCTTGAAAGAAGAACATTTGCAGAACGTTGGCAGAACATTTGCTGACGTCTTTTGCCTCAGACATGTGGAAAATATTAAGTTATTCCTATGACACTGTAAATTAACTCATTACGGATGAGGAATCTACAGGCAAGGACACACTGTTTACCACTTGCAGCTATTAAAGGGTGCAGTAATAGGCTGAGTTAATGATTGATCGTATCGACGTCATAGAAATAAAAATTACAGAACTTTGGATCCCGAAGCAAATATCACATTAATGTCTAATCTGGCAACATGGTGTCACAAAGTCACCTGGCTTCTTCTAAATCTACTGTATGTGTAACCGTTCTGTAGAGCCAAATGCACTAGCGGCACTATAGATTCTGTGAATTACAAAGGATTTGTGATCTTATATTCATGTTCATCATTTCTTTCTCGGTTGTTTGACATGTTCTCGTGTTGTTCTGCTAGTTGGCTCACTGACTGCCAGATAGTTGATTAGCTGCTGAAGTGCCATGTGGACTGCACACTAAAAAGAAACGGTTCTATATAGTGCCAAATAAGAGTTATTTGGCTCGTAACGATAGTGTATCCTATTTTGGTGCTACATAGAACCCTTTTTTGAAGGTTCTATAAAGAACCATGCTCATAAGGTTCTACATGTAACTATTATGGTGCTATAAAGAAACCTTTCTTAAGTTTCTAAAAATAACTTTTTTTTAAAGGTTCTACATAACACTAAAAAGGGTTACGCTATCGTTACAATCCTTTTTGGTTCTATATAGAACCCTTTTTAATGGTTATTTATCAAACCTTCATGGAGAATCAGAGATAACTTTTTATTCTGGTTAGCCATATACAGTTAAAATTCCATAGGTGTTATTATTGTGTATACTGACAAGTTGAATCAGGTGTGGTACCTCTGGAACAGCTGGGGGTCCCTGAGGATAGAATTGAGAACCACTGGTTTAGTTATTTTGAAAAGACTGGAGTTGGAAGGGGACTCAACTCAGGAACTGATCTTTCGTTATGATGTTGACCTTTTTGGAGAAGCCCATAGAATAAGGAGAGGTAATGAGAGAAAGTTTGTGACAGGACAGGAGACCTTCTCCATTCAAGTGTACCATCTTTCAGATGCAGACAAAGGGTGCATTCAAAATGTCCAGTAGTGCACTATATAGGGAATAGGGTGCCATTTCGGAGGCATACATAGAGAATTAATTCTGTCCGCTTTTGAATGGGCTTGACGATTATATCATCAAATTCATGAAAACAAAGTCATATAAGATATTACAAAAATAGTGTTTGTGAACTAATTTACTTTTGCCAGATGCCTTTCATTAAGTTTTTGCGCTGAAGAAAATTGCGCTACGTTTTGCCTATTGAAGACCATTCAAAAAGCCTATAAAATTCAAAAACTACAATGCTACTTGCCGCGTCACTTGCATAGAGTATATCAGTGAATGACAACCAAAATCTACGGCTACATGCTAACAATAGAGATGTGTGAGTGATTAATGACACACATTAACGTTTGTTCCCTTCCACCTCACTGTGTGGCTGAACTAGAGAGTGCTGGACAAGGGCTGTGCAACGCAAACAAATGTTCAGATAGAAATAGATTGTGTAAAACGTATCATTAAGAAAAGGGAATCGTGTCAGCTCTTTTCATTCTCTATCCGCAACAGTCCGACTGGTTCACGTCATTCGTTACACCCCCTGGTGTGATCATATTAATCATTACCCAAAGGTTGTGTTGATGTGGGTTGCTAGGCTGTGTTGCCATGTGTAGTTTATGACTCAATAACAATAGTCCTACTGACATGATCAACGTAACCAACTTGAAAATAGCAGAAGTGATATTGTATTTTGTACAATAAAAATAAGTGACAGATTTCACGGTTGTAACTTCTGTCTGCTGAAGCGTGAGCTAAATAATGGCTTAATCATATGACTGAGGAGAAAGAATTCTCTCATCAGACTCTCATTGTACTTCTGAAAAGTTTCATTAAGTTAAAAAATTTGAAGTATAAACCAGTCTGGAGAGAAGATAGATTTTTGAATATACTGTATGAATACTTAGCTGCCATTAGAGAGAAAAGGGCTTGTCCTTGCAGTACTGTCTATTGTCAAATCAACATGTATTTGTCATATGCACAGGATTCAGTGAAGTGTACACAGTACAATGAAATGCTTGCAAGCTCTCCTCTCAACTATTGTTGTTCTTCTAAACCGACAAAGACTGAGTTTTTTTCTGTTGCTGCTGTGTTTGAGCCGCTACAATAAGTTTACATGCAAAATGTTGGGGAAGTGAGGTTTTGTGGTTTGTGCATATTTGACCTACCGGGCTTTGAATTCTCTACCTTGGATAATTTAATTTAAAAAGTGTAAACAGAAGGCTATTCCGAATGAGAAAGAGCAGGTAATATTCCTAGGAAGTAAAAAGTTAGCAAAACTATGAGGTATTTAAGTGGGGACTGAAGACTTACGATTTATGGATACAGTTTATATCTCATAACTATGGACACACGTTCAAGGTGGATACTTGGACTTCAGATATGAAAACAAAGTAGAAAGTATTTCAAAGAAAATGTTCACTGAAAAGTTGATTTATTTATTTATTTTTTACATATCTATTTCTTTAGAAATTAGATAATGTTCATAATACATGCCAGTCAAACAACTGGGCCTGCAGCCAAGCACCAAGAGTCAGTGGCAGCCAATAAATGATGATATATATATCAGACCTGCCTGCAGACTCTTTCAAGAGAGCAATTTAAGCTAAATGTGGTGCCATATTTCCTCTGGCCTCTCTAACTCTCCTCTTTGGTCCGTCATGAGTTTTGAGCATACTTGTCAATGGAGACTTGTTTCATGTATACATTACGCTGTGGACAGCAGCTTGAATCTGATACCTCCATGGGACCAGGTTGATGCGAATAAATTGAGCTTTGTGTCTGGAATTCTCTTTGTCTCTCTCGGACGTTGAGTCTGGGGGGAGGCATGTGTGCAAAGAACAAACCTTGTCTTTCCAAAATGTCTACTTTTTAGGAATTGTTTTCAGATCTAATATCATAGAGTCTTGGAAGTTGACATGGTGTTTCGGATTATTTTAATTTATCCTTGAGTCATAAAACATTTACAACATATGCAGGGCAATAACTACTTTAAATGTATGTAAAATAATCAAAATCGACAAAAATGGAAATACTTGGTTTTTCAGGACTGCCCTTGGTGTATATGGATAGACTCATGCTGAGGCATTGTACATGGGTAAGGGAGTTGCCTGGACCTTTGGACACAAAGGAGGTCATAGGTTGAGAGTAAGCTGACCGTCTCTTGCTGCCTCTGTGTTCTGAGTGAACCTGTCCAGTATAATCAGGGTTGGGGAGTAACGGATTACATGTAATCTGTTACATATAATCCATATGCACATATTACATGTAACGGATTACAAAAAACTGTAATCAGTTACGTTATCAGCACAATTATTGTAATCAGATTAATGATATTCAAATCAGCAATGAAAAAAGGTGCAAATTTAAGTTTTGATCTGCCCGAGCGAGTCTGACCACAAGCCAGAGACCACTATGATGACACACCAAATGCATTTTATAGATCGTGGGAAAAGAGCAGGAATAGGCTTTTGTAGGCTACAGTCCAAGCTATGTCTTCCAAGGGTGCGACTGCTGTCGGAATGCAAAGATGATACATCCAATTTGACTACAGCTCAGCGTTCAACACCATTGTGCCCACCTTCACTACGCTAAGGACCATGTGATTAAACACAACCCTCTGAAACTGGATCCTGGACTTCCTGACCAGCTGCCCCCAGGTGGTGAGGGTAGGCAACAAAACATCTGCCATGCTGACTCTTAACACAGGGCTGATTGTGGACTACAGGAAACGGAGGGCCGAGCAGGCCCCCATCCACATCGACGGGGCTGTTGTGGAGCAGGTCTAAAAAGATTTGGCATGGGCCCTCAGATCCTCAAAAAGTTATATAGCTGCACCATTGAGAGCATCTTGACTGGCTGCATCACCGTTTGGTATGGCAACTGCTTGGCATTCGACCGCAAGGCGCTACAGAGGGTAGTGCGTACGGCCCAGTACATCACTGGGGCCGATCTCCCTGCCATCCAGGACCTCTATACCAAGCGGTATCAGAGGAAGGCCTTAAAAATTGTCAATGACTCCTGCCACCCAAGTTATAGACTGTTCTCTCTGCTACCACATGGCAAGCGGCACCAATGCACCAAGTCTGGAACCAACAGGACCCTGAACAGCTTCTACCCCCAAGCTATAAGACTGCTAAATAGTTAGTTAAATAGTTAACCAATAGCTACCTGGAATATCTGCATTGACCCTTTTTGCACTAACTTTTTTGACTCATCCCATACTCTGCTGTTACTGTTTATTATCTATCCTGTTGCCTAGTCACTTTATCCCTACCTATATGTACATATCTACCTCAATTACCTCGTACCCCTGCACATCGACTCGGTACTGGTACCCCGTATATATAGCCAAGTTATCATTGTATATTTATTCCTTGTGTTATTATTTTTAAATGTTCTACTATTTCTCTTTTTTTTCTCTCTGCATTGTTGGGAAGGGGTGTAGTGTCGAGTCAATGCTGGCAATTATTGCTGTGAAACAAAGAGTCCGCTTAGGCTGTACTTTGATTATAAGTTTTATTCATATCACAAGATTTCAGCATAAGTTTACAGGTGTCCAGATCACCCGGAGAGCAGTGTCCTCGAATTGTAATGTCTGCTCTAACCGCTTCTTCGTTTAAACCC